AGCCATCACTCGAGGATGCTGACCTAACCGAGAAGTGCAAAGAGACCGGGCCAGGGAGTGCGAGAAACGGCCAAGAGGGCAACCCCCACGAACCCGAGCCGGTAGAAGAACAAGGCTGGGGAGGCGCCGGTAATCCGCGGCGACGAGGCGCTTTAGCACCCACTTTGCATGACTCAAAACAAGAGGAAGGGTACAACCCCAATTGCGAGTATGAATGCCGGCACTTCCGTGGACTAGCTTTGAGAGAAAAAGAAAAGCAACACCTCGATAACGGCTGTGATTCACCTGCGCTCACTCGGGACCCCCTTGACCAAATGACCCAGATTGCGGCCCCAAGTTTGAACTCTCCGCTTCCTAAAACATTTGGAGGAAGTGACGGAGCTGGTGAGAACAACATGCGAGTCGGCGAAGTTAGTCAAAATGACCGGAGATTGGAAAAGGGGTGAAATAGTATCGAAATCATTTGTAGCGCGGTCTAGGAGAGGGATGAGGGGAAAGGGAGACTAAGGGAGGCATGAAAATGCAGCAGATTGATGTGCGGAACATGGGAGTGATTGAGGGAAATATCTTAGAGCCATAAGATGGTAATCCAACCTAGACCTTAGATATCTCAAGTTACCAAATCTAAGAACCCTAACATTTATACATACATTTAGTTCTATAATTTCTCAATCTCCTCTTTACCTTGATTGTTTTCCTATGCCCGATGCACTCGCATAGCAAGCCCAGGAAACCACCGTGTTGGAAGAATTGGATCTGTAAGCTGTGGAATTGAAGAGATGAAGAGAAATAAAGATTTATATTAGATTGTCAGTGCGAGAAGTAGGTGTTTTTTTGTCAGGAATCTATCGACCTCTAGCACTAAAGACTACAATACTTACACCCATGAGAGGTGTCTATATACAGAAACATGAGTCCCGACATTTCATTTCTAACCGGCTTCCATCATATTAAAGTAATTATCCCAACACACCGCACCTATGGACAAAACTCTCCTCTGGTGGGCGGTGCAACCCCGGGCGGTTGCTAGACCTCGCCAAACATTTTCAGAGTCTGATAAACAATCCCACACATTACGGCCCCCACCAGAAGCCCCGCCTCCTGCCATCCCTGCAAAGGTACGAGTAACCACCGTAACCTATCTCTGAATCCGGGCCATACACTCCACCACTGCCACAACTTAGTAGGGTACTGCCAGAGGTCTTATCAAACACGAAAACGCATGGCGGTCGGACGATCGCTGGTGATTTCTGATATTAGCACTTTGCTCGGCTTCTACCCAACGGGCCCTGGCGGAGAGGGATTACTGATCTCGCAATAGCATCAATCTCACCGGTCATTCCTAGTGAGGTACTGTTCACGCAGAGCTTTAGAGAATCCCTTGTCGGCTCGCTCGTAAGCCTCCACAGCTTGAGAATACCGTTCCCGTTTCCGATGGAGGCAAACGAGGGGATCGAGGGATTTACAGAAATTTGGGTGCTCTGGACCGAGTGTAGTTTCGCGAGCTGTGAGGGCACGCTGAAGCAGTCTTCCGGTCTCAGTATCCTTTCCCGGAACTTCAAGTGCTAGAGTTAGGTTGTAAATAGAGGATAGTACATGAGGGTGGACTGTGCGCAAAGCTTTCTCTCTGGCTGCTAGCACACGCCGGGACAGTATCTCGGATTCGATGAAGTTTCCCTGCTCTAGCAACAGCGTAGACAGGTTGTTGATAGCCGTCAAAGTATCGGGCGGTTCGATACTAAAGATTTCTCGCGGCCCTCCAATGGGCGATGATTCATCACCTCCGATTCTTCGTACCTCCCTTGCTCCTGTAGCACCTGAGCCAGGTTGTTGACAGCCATCAAAGTCTTAGGGTGTCCGATCCAAAACGTTTCTCATACCCCGTCCAATGCGGGCGATTCATCAC